GATTGAATCATACTGCTGTACATAGTACTGAATTGCTTTAATTTTGATCTTATAGTAACATGCATTATTTTTAGTCCTCACTCAAACGTTCCTGGACATTCCTGCCAGAATTCAAGTCTTGGTAGTTATGATTTTGACCAAGCTTTTGTGTTTAATGGATTACCTTAATTCTAAGTGGCCAGTAGCAACAAAGATTACTTTCAGGTGTGGCTGATGTTAGCTTCTTGTTATAGTAATTTCAGTCCCTGGGGTCCCACAGTGGAAGTACTAGTCTTTTTTTTTTTTCTTATTNTCTGTGGTGTATATGTACCACAGCTTCCTTATCCGTTCGTCTGCTGATGGGCATCTAGGTTATTTTGTTTCAGTAGTATTGTGTCTACTAGGAATTTATGGAATTCATAATACCTCCTTCATAAGTAATTTTAAAAGATTTGTTATATTCTTAAATGAGGCATTCATATTTTCTCAGAGAACAACATTATTTTTTTGGAAAAGCAAATCATTAAAAAATGATACCTATGGAAAAATATGATTTGGTTTCACAAAATGTCTTAGTTGCCAAGTTTCCAGAATATTTTTATTGTCTGAAACCGTAGTTTCATGATTTTAATTAAAAAGGGTAGCAACACACTGTGCTGTACACCTAAATCTGACCTAACATAAATCAGCTATACTTCAATTTTTTTAAAAAGGATAGCAACATGAAATATTCAGCATCACCTTTAATTAGTACACAATGAACACTATTTCTCAAGTATTTTAATATTTGGCTTTGTCTTATGAACATTTTATCAAAATAAGCATCTACTAGGTTGTTTTTAAAGGAATGAATGAACCAAAATACATTTGAGTAATTTGTACAATTATTAGAATCTATTTTATTTTAAAATAGAATTAGCAGTTGCATTTCAATACATTTAGATATACATCTGCTTGAAAAGTTTAGAGATTACTAAACTTAGGCTACAGTCGTCAGAAATTGTTTAAAAGTATGCGTGTGTGCTCGGTTGTGACCAACTCTTTGTGACCCCATGGACTATAGCCCACCAGGCTCCTCTGTCCATGGGGTTTCCCAGGCAAGTATACTGAAATGGGTAGCCATTTCCTCTTCCAGGGGATCTCCTGCATCTCCTGTATTGGCAGGCAGATTCTTTACCACTGAGCCACCTGGAAAGCCCATTTAAAAAGTATGTGTGCTTAGTCACTCAGTCGTGTCTGACTTCTTGTGACCTTGTTTAGACTGTAGTCCACCAGGCTACCCTGAAAAATCAGGCAAGAATACTGAAGTGGATTGTCATTTCCTCCTTTAGGGATCTTCCTGACTGAGGGCTCAAAGCCATGTCTCCTATCCATCGGGGAAACCCCATTTAAAAGTATGAAGGCATTTCCCATTGTACAAAACAATTGGAAGCAATCATGTGTTTTGATCAACCTCCCACTCCTGGCTATTGGAGGCACATAATTCTATTTACCTTGAAAAAAACTGAATTCATTGACTGCTGCCAAGGAGGGACAGTGATCCTGGCAGGCACCATGCAGTTTTGAGAGCTCAAATATTAGGGTACCCTTCTTGAGTCATGGTTAAGTAGAGGTTTAGAGAAAGCAAATGAAAGAACAACCAAAACCTTATCATGATCTGAATTATAATCATTAGAAGAAGCTCTCGCCAAATGGTTCAACTTCTGCCTCTGGAATTGGGAGTTGAGTGGGCACAAAAAGGGGATATCATCCATTCTTTCTGACAGCTAGATAGTGCTGAGAAGCTTTTGAATAAAACACTTTGCTAAATGAAAAAAGAAGTATAAAGGCATGTAAAATTTTTCATGATTCAACAAGTTTAGTGTTAAAAACAAGCTATAAAGTGGAATTAGAGTAGGATTCTAATTATGTAACAAATCATATAAGAAATCTATAAAAATCCTATATAACATACATGTACTCACATATCCAGAAGGAAAGTGTTATCAACAGTTATCTTTGGGTGACTCAAGGTTTTTCTGTATTTCCCAAAGTTTCTGTAGTTGATACGAGTCTTATATTTGGTATATGCATATATTAGCTTTTTAAAAGATCAGGTATATTGTATTACATATTTGTTTGTTTTCTATGTCTGTACTTCTGTGAACATGGGAGTTAAGAGTAGTGAATAGAAAAGTTCCTCTTGTGGCTAATTCTTGGGTGTTGTCAAACAGGGCTCCCAGAAGCATTCTTATGCTTTTTATGCACTTTTTATGTTGGGTTCCCAGGAACATTTTAATGTACATATTAAAAATAGAACATACTTGTTGTCTAATTAGTTTCTAATTCTAAAAGAGAAGGATCAAGGGTGACATTATGCGTAGGTGATAGTTTCAAGTGTAAATGAAGAAAGACACTAGGATTTCAAAATACCATTGTCTGTATGTTTATCAATTCCCTAATCCTATTGACAAACTCCAGAGGAGAACAACTTTCTGGTTTTATAGCCAGAGACAGTGAAGCGTGGAAGATCAAAAAGTTTACACAATATACAGAAAGTAAGCCTCATCCTGTGGCCCCTCTTCAAAGCACTAGTTCATCCAGCCACGTATCATCCTGAAATTTGCAATGCGTGATACTCAGAAGCAGCAGATACTTTGTGGCCACTAATCCTTTTTAGCTTTATAGGATTAGAAGTCTTTACACAATAAAGTATAAATGTTCTTCTAATTAACTGCATCTCCTTTTTCTTCTGGGTTGGTCATAATAGTGTGGAAAGGTCATTGGCGCATGTGTTTCACACACAATCTTGAAATGAACTAGTTTACAAAGCTCTATTTTCAGGTGCTGCTGTTGGTTGAACTTAATTTGTTAAGAAGGCAAGAAGCTTTTCCTCATTTAAGTACTTGAATAGTTTATGGATCCCAGTGAAGTCTCTGTGAGGGTTTGCTTTTTGATTTCTCTCTTTCGGTTTCTTGTTGCTGGCTTCTTATTACAGAAAGAATGAGGGTAGAAAATAAAGTGCTGTAGTAAATGCTGCAAAAGTATCAGAAGGATGGCCAAAGTCATAGGGAGTGGTTCTTGACTCTGTGGTCGCTCCTCTCTGGAAAAACAGAATATTCAAGAGTGCCCTATTGAGCCTCACATTCCCCTGCCTCCAGTAGCGCTGGCTCAGAACTCAGCAGGCTTTGTCTCTGAGGAAGGGGAGAGGCTGCCCCAGCCCCAAGGACCAGAGTGGGTGACTCTGGTTCAGCTCATATTAACCAGAGCAGGTGACTGACAAAGTCTGAGACAAAGATTTTTTTAAATTATGCATCCATTATATATTCAGAGATAATTTAAACCTTACATAATTTTGAAAAGAAAAGTTTAGCTATTTATTAAGGGCATTTGCCACTGAAATGCTAGAAATAATTCTACTCTGACTAAAATGAGACAGTCGAGATATTTGGCTAAAACAATTTCTGGTCAAGTCAAAAGAGTGAAATATCTCCATCACTAAAATTGTAACTTCCTTTATGCTTTGACAGGGAAAGGGAAGCAAGACTGATAAATTACCCTAAATATTATATATTCTAAATAAATTATTTTCAGTGCTTGGGAGTGAAATATAACCAAAGATAGAATTAAGTGTTTTTACATATGCTCACATGCTTTTCAGTTTAGAGTGATTCAAATCCAGTGTAATTCATGTGAAAAATTAAAAGACTTATTTCCAGGAGTTAATATTTGAATGATGCTGTGCCTTCGTCAAGGTGATAAGTTCTTAGGAAATATACTTGGTAGTCAGGCAGTTATAAAGAATAAAGTGGAAGCAAAGACTGTATCTTTGAAAAGTATCTAGATTTTGTATGAGATAAATTTTGGCTGTCTGCATAATCTCTCCAAAGAGCAGATGCCCCTCAAAAACATAATTGTGAAATGAAGAGGGTGCAAAATAACACATATTTCCTTAAAAGCATGTACTATCCCTTTTCTGCTTTATTTTTCCCACACTTTGAATTTGAAGATCTCTGTGGAACTCGATGATGACTGAAACAACTGGTCTAGTTATTGGTAATGATCCGTTTACTAACGTCATCCATATGCCACTAGTGCTGAAGCATATTTCCCGAGTGTTGTTTTAGGTCACTCAAGCCCTTTCCAGAATTGTTCATGAGTGAGCGAACCGTTCAGCTGCAGTGTTCTCAGGGTCATGTCCGGAAGCTTTCTGTGTAGAATAATTCCATTCCCTTTTGATTAAAGGGCTCCAGCTAGCTAGATCAAGAAATACCCCGTGGAGATTTTGGAAATCCTTCTCACGAACTGTTCATGCTAAGAAATACCACGAAAGAACTCTGGGCCCGGGTTTCTCACTTTCTTCCAAGTAGACTGTTGCACAACTTTCCTTGCCTCTCCCTGTCCCTCCAAGAGACGTCATGCTGACACCTTGCCCCTGCATCCTTGGCACTGTGTCACTCAGGTCGCTATAGCAACAGCACACACAGGGTAACATTCCCCGGTAACTACGGCGGCTGGGACCTGAGTCAGTTGAAAAGTTCCACTGGGTTTTTATTAGCGTCTGATGCAGCCCCGTGTCATCCACAGTTCCGAGCCCATCCAAGGCTCACACACAGTGATGCTCAGCACCTTCCAGTGTTAGATGGTCCAGGGACCTCTCACCAGAGTCGCTGCCATTGCTGGCTCCTTCCAGGGTGCCCCTCAGTAATACCTATAATAAAGCAGCCAAGAGTAAACTCAGGTCCTGCTGCTGGAACTCCATTTCTACTGTTGTATATCCTATGTGCTTAATAACTGTCAGTGACCTTGGTTGATGATCAAGAAGCCCCTCTTTTCACCCAGGGAACTGGAAAATAGTTAACATCCCAGAAGACACATCTTCACCCTTGTGACTGAGAAGGATGTGTGTTGAAGAATAAGGATGGAATTACTGTAATTCTCTTTGGGCATTTGTGAATGTGAAACATACTATTTAATTATGGCTTGAAAGTGGTCCTAGAGTGACCAGTGTCATCTAATATGGGATTTGGTTTCTTTTTCAGACATGGAGATGACCTGATTGTGACTCCCTTTGCACAGGTAAGCACACTTGCTGCTGGACAGGTTTCTCAGTCCTCAGAAAATGTTAATGGCAGGAATTAGTTCTGGTTCTTAACTTCATTCTAAATCAAACACAAGTACAGATACAAATTCTGTGGTTCACTCAAGTAATCTGAAAGCAATGCTAGAGAATATAACCTTGTCCATATTGGTCTGTTTCTTATAAATCCATAGACCCAAAGAGTATCTTTGCTTCAAATTACAAATTGCCCAAGTGACATACTTAAGTGGGACCACATTTCCTTAATTGACATAAGCACTAGAAGAGGAAAACTATATCATGGATTAAATTACATTTAGTATAATTAGGTGCATGATTAGTGCTTGAAATTCAGTATTCCAATTCAACCTGATGCTTTATTTACTCTTCTTTTAAACATGGTATTTGTCCAGAGATTTAATTGAATGGCATATTTATGTTTATGTGTTCCTTTTAGGTATACAAATCATGAAAACACTTTAACCACATGACCCCAGAAATACTAGAAGATGAAAAAAATCTAAAGAATTTTAGAATATAAAGTAGTTGATAACCTGATATTCTTAGTATAGACCAGTGCTTCTCAACTATAGCTACACAGTAGAATCGCCTGAAAAGATTTTATCCCATGCTGCACCTCTGAACAATTGAATCCAAAAATCTGGACCCAGGCAGTATAATTTTTAAACCCCCAGTATTTTCTCAGTGAAAGTTGAGAGCTACTGGTATGGGCAGACTAGGGATGGAATGGGATTAAACTGGTTTAACCTGGGGCATGAAGCAGGTTTGGAGCAGGAAATGGCAACCCACTCCAGTATTCTTGCCTGGAGAACCCAGTGGACAGAGGAGCCTGGTGGGCTACACTCCATGGGGTCGCAGAGTTGACACAACTGAGAGTCTGACACATGAAGCAGGTTTAAAGTCAACACTGACTGTTAATAAGAGAGGGTAAAGCGTCTGCCTGCAATGCGGGAGACCCAGGTTTTGATCCCTGGGTCAGGAAGATCCCCTGGAGAAGGACGTGGCAACCCACTCCAGTACTCTGGCCTAGAAAATTCCATGGATGGAGGAGCCTGGTGGGCTACAGTCCATGGGGTCACAAAAAGTCAGACATGACTGAGCAACTTCACTTGTAGAGGGTTATAAAAATGATAATCAAGGCTAGGTTACGTCAAAACTAGCTCTAGTGACATAAACAACTCACTAACTTCTCTATGACTTTTTTTCCCAGCTGGTAAAATTGGGGACTCAGCTGGCTTAAGATAGACCCCAGTCAAAGCCTTTCACCTACTCTTGCTAATGAATGTGCATGGGCAAGCCTGTTCTCCTCTGTGAAATGACACAAGACTACTTGTCTCATAGGTTATCAAGAGATTGAAATAACACCAAGCTTATTTCTGGAAAATAGAATACTTAATGAATTTTGTGTTGTTATCAGCAAGGCTTCTTTGATCTCCAAAATTTCATAATAGGTATTGTTTTTAAAAATGAATAATGACAGTGTTTGGATAGCAGAATTATATATGGTTCTAACACTTTTTCACATTTCCTGACATTTTAAAAAATTTATTTGTTTTTGGCTGTGCTGGGTCTCCGTTGCTGGGCACACTTTTCTCTGGCTGTGGTGGGCAGAGGCTGCTCTTTAGTTGCAGAGTGAGGGTTTCTCACAACAGTGATTTCTCTTGTTTCCGAGAGCCCCTCTGTAGCATGTGGGATCTTCCTAGCCCAGGGATTGAACCTGCATCTCCTGCATTGGCAGGAAGATTCTTTACCTCTGAGCCACAAGGGAAATCCCAAATTTCCTGAAGTTTTTAATTGCTATAATTTAGATCAAAATTTAATGAGTCCATAAATAGCAAAGTATGTAGTGATATTTTTCATTAATGCAGACTATTAAAAATAGAATATCGCCATCACCCCTTTTGGAAGTTTAATGTCTCATTTGTTTAAAATTTTACTAGAGATCATTAGTTTTCTCTAATAATTATATTTCTATGTTAAAAAATTACAATCATGTTTCATCATGTTTTGTGATAATAAAATCTTACAAAGCTAAGGACTTTTAATCAATAGCCGTCAAGAACCCATAAATTTATATCTAAAGCTGAGTAACAGAGTAAATCAGGTAAAATAATATACAAATAACCATCATCAAATATAGAAACAATCATTCCAACCTGAGTATATTTAGGTCACTATTCTTGATTCTAACTAAAACCTCTAGGTGTTGTAAGAAAAATGCACTTAAGTATGTAGTAAAATGTGAAAAAAAGTAATCTGTATATCTTATGTCAAGTAGTATGTGTTAATCTCCAACTAATTGATCAATAAATTTCAACTTGAACCTTGCCATTAATACTCTTCAATTTTAAGGAAATCTAGTCTTTTACATATCAGACATTTTCTGTAAAGTATTATAATTGATATGCTGAGAAACATATTATGTAAAATATCACTTAGTCTGTGTCAATGAGCTGTTTAACTAGGATGTGTACTTACTAATAATACCCTTGAAATTGGATCTTTGAATAAAAAACACTCTGTATAATTTGTGGGTATATATGATGCCTGAAAATAATTCTTAGACTCTACTTAGGAAAGTTTGTTTCTGATTAGCTTAATGACTCATATCACCTTATGGAAGGTAGTTATTGCCCAAAAGGCTGCAGATTCTTTATAAGTGGCTTCATCACAGCTTTCACAAATGACCTTTTACAAGAGTATATAATTTTAAAACTATATATATGTATGTGCTAGTTGCTCAGTCGTGTCCAACTCTTTGCAACCCCATGAACTGTAGCCTGCCAGGCTTTTCTGTCCATGGAATTCTCCAGGCAAGAATACTGGAGTGGATTGCCATTCCCTTCTCCAGAGGGTCTTCCTGACCCAGGCATTGAATCCTGGTCTCCTGCATCACAGGCAAGTTCTTTACCATTTGAGCTACAGGGAAGTCAGAATTTTATTTTAAAACTTATTGAACCCTGAACTATTTTGACAGAGCATCTTTGGGGAAAGAGCTATGAAAGAAGAACCAGTCAGCAGCAGTTGTCTATGGCCTTCTCTTCAGCTTAATTGGGCACCACAAGCTTATTTTGTAATGTAGGGTAGTGTTAGTCGCTAAGTCGTGTCCAACTCTCTTTGTGACCCCTATGAACTGTAGCCCACCAGGCTCCTCTGTCCATGGAATTCTCCAGACAAGACTATTGGAGTGGGTTGCCATTCTGCATTTTGACCCAAGGATCAAACCTGGATCTCCTGCACTGCAGACAGATTCTTTACCATCTGAACTACAGGGAAGTCCCTCCTCAAAGTTTTAGTATAGGCTGGAGTATTCACCATTTAATGCTAAATATTATGATGCTTAAATGGGAAGATGTTTTTGTCACTTGAGTTGAAACCAGTATTATTGGTCAACTATACCATAGTTGTTTTCACCAATAGAGAAGACTATAGACATTTAACAGGTCACTCAGGGAAGTGTTGAAATAGGCCAAAATATTCCCCTCGTTCCCAACATGCTTTGGGGTTGCTAATTTCACACTAGATTATTCCAGTGAAAAAAGCCATATTACTTTCAAAATAAAACCTTTGGCATAGAAAAAATAAATATGAGTAAAAGGAAGAAAAAGACAAGTCCCTATAATTCTAAACCCCGAAAGACTGACATTTTACTTTCTACCCCTTTCAGTTTTATTTTCCTGTGTGTATTTGTTGTCGTTGTTGAGTCAGTAAGTTGTGTCTGACTCTTTCCATCTCATAAACTACAGCACACTAGGCTTCCCTGTCCTTCACCATCTCCCGGAGTTTGCTCACACTCATGTCCATTGAGTTGGTGATGCCATCCAACCATCTTGTCCTCTATCACCCTTTTCTCCTGCCCTCCATCTTTCCCAGCATCAGGGTCTTTTCCAATGAGTTGGCTCTTCACATCTGGTGGCCAACGTATTGAAACTTCAGCGAAAGTCCTTCCAGTGACTATTCAGGGTTGATTTCCTGTGTGTATTTTCCTTCTCATAATTCTTTAAAATGGGCCTCCTGCTGTCTCAGCTGCTCAGAGGCTCCTTCCAAGCCCATCTCATTGTCAGCCTCTTCTTGAGAACTCATTTCTTCATGCTTTACCTTCATCTCCAAAGCATGAAAGGATCCCTCGCTGTTGTTCCCCAGCCACAGTTTCCTGTGAAGCTAAGAGAATAAAATCTTAGGTTGTGAGAGAAATTGGGAAAATGTGCAAGATCATATTCCACTTTGAAGACAGAGCTGAACCTAAAGCATCAAGCATAAACACAACCTTCAGGAAAGATCCTCCACCACCCCTCCATATTCTATTCCCAAGTCTGTAACACTGTCAGGGTTAGAAATTCTTGCTGGTGTTCAATCTAAACACTTTTCCACTTCTAGTTTCTTATGTTTCCCCCTGTAAATTCAGAATCTTTTTGCTCCCAGGAAAATAACAGCTCTAAATATTTTATTGTTTTACATTTGAAATATTCTTCTGTGCTTATGCTGAAATCTTTCTGTTTGGGTATTTCCTTAGAGTAAGTGTTGACAGGAATAATGTCATGTCATCTGATACCACTTGGCAGCTGACCTTTTCCTCTCAAAGGTGAAGTCTCAGTTTGGCCAGAGATCTTGAGGGGCCAAGGAACACCAAGGAGGCACAACACAGATGCAATATAGGAACCCTGCTTTCTCCTCAGTTTCCTCTGGCCCTCCCTTTTCCGTTATTTGTATCAATTCATGAGTGACCACCTTGTAAAATTCTTTGTCAATTAGAATCCTCCCCTGGAAGTGTGCAGTATTCAAAGAACTGGAACCTTTAGTTTAACAAAGGGCAGAAAATATCCAGATATTATCTTGTATCCCCCACCCTCACATCACTCAGACTGAGAGAGATACACTTGATTTAAAAGTACAGAGTAGGAACAGCCCAATCATTTCACCTTTATTCTTACCAAAATTATAGCACCTAGGGTAATTTTAGGAAAAACATGGTGGTTATTAACCCTGTAGAACATTGCTATCCCATGGTAATGGGACATTGTTGATTTTTAAAAAACGCCTCTGTGTGTCTTTTCCCCGTTTCACCCAGAAATAGCAATCTTGTGGTCTTATCATTGAATTCAGTAGGATTTCCTTGTTTCTTTCTCTAAGAAAGAAGAAAATCATCAGATTTCAGTTGCTTCTACCTGTTGGGTTTTTTATCCTTCATTAAAATAAATTTCAGTACCATGTTCTAGGAATCTAAATACTTTTGGGGTTGAACTACATGAAATTATCAATATTCAACCTTTGCTGGCATACAAAAACAGCAAGTTCATATAGTTTAATCAAACATAACTTGGAAAGACATTTTCTGTCAAAATGACCTTTCTATCTTGTAAATAATCACAATTTGGCTCCAGTATTTTTTCTGGAAGCAAAACCAAGCCAAAGAGTTCTTCCTCCCTCCTCAGACCCTCCGCCCTACCTGATCTAAGGCCTGTGGCAACTCATAGTCTGTGCTTTATTGCCATCTAGTGGCTTAATGTGTATCCGGAATGAAAACATTCTCAAAGCTATTTATTTCTTGGTTGTTATTTTATCAAGCAGGAGTTTTTAACAAGACTGTCATTGCCATATTTTTTTTTTAAAGCAAACTCTTTAAGTCTTTTCCAGAAATTATTAATATAGAAGTACAGATTCCTTTTATGTGAGTACGTTCAGATGTTTAACTTTTTAATGAAATCCACTTTGGTCCGCCATTTTCAGAGAATCTTGTTGGTTAATAAATGTTGAGAAATACCTAAGAAAGGGGATTTCTCCCAGAAGTGCAGTGGTTAAGACTCTTCCCTTCTACTGCAGGGAACAGAGGGAGTAGGGGTTAGGGAACTAAGATGTTTCATGCTGTGTGGTGCAGCCAAAGAAAAACACCCCAAGAAAGTCTTCGATTAATGTGTGTAAATAACATTTGATCCCTCTTACAGGCCAATACAACTGTGTGGAAAAATTTCCATATCAGTGTCCTAATTATCTTTTCTAAAGTGTTTTCCTCTTTCCCAATGTATTTTGACCTTGAATCATTATGCTTTTGCTTGGAGGGCCAGAAGAAGAAGAAATGACCCTGATTTTGTAACCATTGAACTGTTAATGTGGGAGAAAAACCTCAGGGACCTTTTGGTTAGTAATCAGTAAAGACTGACGAGAAAACTATCGGAGTGTTAGAGCTCTGACTACAGCTCTTAAAGGGTTGAATTCAAGGGCCGTGAGAGCTGCTCTGTAACAAAAGTGAAGAATAATTAAACCCTGACTCAGTGGCTTGTGTGAAACTGTTTCTGGTTCTTCCCCTGTAACCTGTAGTAGCAGATGCTTCACTCTTTGTGTCCTCCAATGCCAGTGAGAAACAGAGAAGTCTAACACAATGCCTTTGGGTTGTGTCACCCAGGATCAGTGAACTTGGCTCTTATAGGATTTGATTGGCACTTCTATTTACACTTCTGCTGGTGTCATAAATGTCATGGTGCAGAAGATAATAGTCAATGCTTAATATAACATTACAAAATGTTATTTGCCCTCAGTTCAGTTCAGTTCAGTCGCTCAGTCGTGTTCGACTCTGTGACCCCATGGACTGCAGCACACCAGGCCTCCCTGTCCATCACCAACTCCCAGAGTTTACTCAAACTCATGTCCACTGAGTCGGTGATGCCATCCAACCATCTCGTCCTCTGTCATCCCCCTTCTCCTCCCACCTTCAATCTTTCCCAGCATCAGGGTCTTTTCAGATGAGTCAGTTCTTCGCATCAGGTGGCCAAAAATTGGAGTTTCAGCTTCAGCATCAGTCCTTCCAATGAANACAGAAAAGCAAGTGGAGTATGTCTTTCATGAAGTAATGCTTGCTTTCAAGTGAGCATAGAACATCTATTACCTGTGATACTATTTCTATTTGTCCAGCTGTCAGATGCAGTGCACTTACTATAATTTATTAAAAATGAAGTTCTCAGAATTCTGAAGTTAACATTTTGCCTAGAACAAGGATCAACTGGGGAGGGTGTGTAATAATTTTATTCAAAATGCTTGATTACTGTATTTGATATTCAATTTTTAAAGCATAAATTCAGCTTGCATGATTTAATGACAGTGGATCATTTGTCAGAATTCTTTCTGCATCATTCAAGATTTCATGCCTAATAAAAGACATCATGGTTTGATGTCAGCAGTTGGCTATTTGAATACTTTGTCATAGGCAGCATGACCTTTCAGCACCGTGAGTTGTTTATATGTGATAATGAGCCAGATTTTTCCAGTGACTGAGTTAATCGTGATTGGCACCTTAGAAAACGTCATTAACTCCTAACGCTGTAGGTCACTCCCTGTGCATGCTCAGTCGTGTCCGACTCTGGGACCTCATGGACTGTAGCCGGCCAAGCATCTCTGTCCATGGGATTTTCCCGGCAAGAATACTGGAGCAGGTTGCCATTTCCTCCTCCAGGGGATCTTCCTGACCCAGGGATTGAACTCTCATCTCCTAAGTCTCCTTCATTGGCAAGCAGATTCTTTACCACTGAGCCACCTGGGAAGTCACTGTCCCAGGGCATAAACAGTTTCCCAGGAACTTAAAAGAATTAAAGCCAGTTTCAGAAATATCTGAGATATTTTTGTCTTAAAATTTAGACTGACTTTAGGTCAGTGCCAAATGACAAAATTCTAGAAACAGTTCTGGAACTCTTGGAGCAGTTATATAAAATGTGCCCCTCCCACCCCACCAGTGTATTGTCAGTGATAGGCCTTAAGTCAGTTTCCTACACACACACCAAATCATTACATAGACTGTCGCCATAATGGGCCAATATTCACTGAGTGCCTTCTGTTTGCCGAGCATTGTTCTTGGCACCCAACCTGCCATGTCACTTCATTTTCACGGCAGCCCTGTGACGTAGATGTCACTATGCATGCGTGTGTGCTCAGTCGCTTCAGTCATATCCGACCCTGCAATCCGTGAACTGTATCCCGCCAGGCTCCTCTTTCCATACAATTCTCCAGGCAAGAATACTAGAGAGGGTTGATATGCCCTCCTCCAGTGGATCTTCCCAGCCCGGGAATCAAACCGATATCGCCTGTGTTTCCTGCCTTGCAGGCAGGTTCTTTACCCACTGGGCCACCTGGAAAGCCCAGATGTTACTGTAAAACCTGTTGGTCGCTTAGTCATGTCCGGCTCTTTGCAATTCCATGGACTGTAGCCCTCCAGGCTCCTCTGCCAATGGAATTCTCCAGGCAGGAATATTGGAGTGGGTTGCCATTCCCTTCTCCAGGGGATCTTCCCGATCCAGGGATTGAACACGGGTCCCCTGCATCGCAGGCAGGCTCATTACCGTCTGAGCCATCAGGGGAGTCCAGATGTTACTATGCTGGTTTACAGATGAGAAACTTAGGGTCAAAGAGATGACAGAATTTTGTAAGTTCACACATTGACTATGTCAGAGAGCCAGGCAATCTGGGTTGTTGTGTGGTACCTAATAAGACATCTGAAATCTATGCTCTAGATAAACTTAACATGCTGGTTGTCCCCCAGATGACTCACCTAATAAAGACTCCACCCTGGGGGGACTTGTCCATTCTAGGAGAAAGTGAGGGGGTAGACGGAGATACAGTACTCTTGTCACTTCTCTCTTCTGGTCTTCAGATTCGTTTGCCACTTTATAGTTTCACTATAAGTAGAAAAAGGAAGAGTTATTAGAGATAGTGGAACCCGTTGGTACATGGATATGTTCGTTGTCCATATACTCATTTATTCAACAAATTTATCTTGAGTACCTTCTGTGGGCCAGGCACTGTGCACATCCAGGGCAGTCTCATTTTGCTTGAGACCTTAGAATTCATGATTCAGATAACCTCAATGAAGAAAAGAATCTCTGTTTACTAAAATAGCTATGTGGTAAAGGGGAGAAAACGATTTAAAGTATACTCAGTTTGCTGACTTCAAGACTGGCCTTCTTGGTGAAGATATTGAGGAGAATTTTGTTTTACATTTTTTACCTAAAATGAGACTTGAATATTTTACATGATGCGATTTCAAATTTATATAAGATGCAACAGCAGCCGTCTATGTATATTCCCTGGGATACTACTTTACTGACTGGGGAATCTAGTAATATTGTGGAAACTGCTGCTAATGTCACCATATTTGTAGACAGTGCAGACTAATATCTGGAAAATCCATAAGTCTGGCCTCTCTGGATTTCAGATAGATCCATGTCACTTTCACCAGGTGCTGGGAGATTCTTGAGTACTATATGAAGCTACATTGCAAGCAATATTAAACTTTCACTTAGCAAACTGTTTTTAAAAATCACCAAACTGTTTCATATTGCATTGAAGAGGGCCTTATTTCAAGAAGTTTAAGTAATCCTTTTTTCTTGTAGGTCTTGGCCAGCCTGAGAACTGTTCGAAACAACTTTGCTGCTTTGACTAATTTGCAAGACCGAGCACCTAGCAAGTAAGTTATTCTTTTTACCCCCACCTTCCAGCTCACCTCTTAAAGTGTTTTCTCAGTTTGCTTGAACTCAAGGCAATATATTAGATTTCTCTGAATCATGGCCATGGTGTCTAACCATTTACACTAAGTCATATGAAGTCCTGTTAATTTTCTATAAATACTTTGTAGTGATGGTTCTCATATCAGAAATGAATCAGGATGACAAATAAATACAGTGATTCCATCTGTCAGAGATCACCTGGCATAATCAGTCCTCTGTCTAGTCATTTATACGCAGGGTAACTTTGTAGTTTGGGCTTACTTCATAAATTAACCATTGACAAATAATGTCATCAAGACTTGAAGTTAACCCAAAGGCATCCTCTTAATTCTGGCACAACCATTCCTTGGGGAAGCCTCATATCACAGGTGTGTGTCTTAGTCTCTCAGTCGTGTCCGACTCCGTGCAACTCTGTGGGCTGCAGCCCTCCAGGCTCCTCTGTCTACGAGATTCTCCAGGCAAGAATACTGGGATGGGGTGCCATTCCCTTCTCCAGGGGATCTTCCCGACCCAGGGATCGAACCCAGGTCTCCTGCACTGCAGGCAGATTCTTTAGTGTCTCAGCCACCAGGGAAGACTCATATCACAGGGAAGATTCTAATTCTTCGGCTGTTACTGACTCGGATCATTAGCAGCATGGAACAGTTAACAAAACTGGGATTTATGGGATGACAGGGGAAGGAAGTGTTTGAAAGAGAGAAAGATGAGAAGGAAAATAATTATAACTCGGGGGGCTTCTAATAAAGATGGGAAATGAAAAAATAAGGAAAATTAATTTTTCAAGATTAAATGGAAAACTAGTTATTCACATGCCATTATTGTGATAACTATTATGAATAATGAGGGCTTCCCAGGTGGCTCAGTGCTAAAGAATCCACCTGCCAGGCTGGAGACTCAGGTTCAATCCCTGGGTTTGGAAGATCCCCTGCAACCCACTTCAGTATTCTTGCCTGGTAAATCCCATGGACAAAGGAGCCTGGTGGGCTACAGTCCATGGACACTACATAGCGACTAAACAACAACAACATTATGAATAATATAATATTATCATTAAAATATCAACTCTGAAGAATTTTCAAGGAAAAAAATTCCTTAAATCAATATTAAGAGGACAGTGACTAAAAATGTATTTGAACTTATCTATGCATATAAAATTTTGTTGTAATTACTATTTCATAACACACACACACAAAATCTAAACTTTCCATCCCATAATAGCAGAATCCACCTCCCAAATTCACGTTTCCTGTGATTAAAATAAGCTCTGGCCATTATGCCCTTATTTTCTGTGACAGAACAAGGTTTAAATTAAAATATCAGTATAAATGCCACAATACAAATAACTGGAATAGAACTCAGAAGCTTCAGTTGATTTTCACGTTTTGCAGGTAATGAAATTTTGCAGTTCTTTTCCCTCAGGCTAAGCATTTCTCACCTCCCTCTTCCCCTCTTCATCCACTGGGCTAACTGTGTAATTCATTCTTTAGGTTACAACTTAAGATATAATTTCATTTGGGGCACTATCTCTAAGTAACACCCCACATGTATCCACACCCACAGGACCCAGCCCGGGTGGTATGCCTATCCATCACCTTCTGTCCTTCACCTCTGTTTTAGTACATTCCTCTCAGTATTCCAGTTGCCTGTTCTCTTGTCTGAAAGCTGCTTAAGAATTTTGGGTCCCAGAAAGCAGAGGTTGTATTTGGTTCATTTTTGAATTCCCAGTGCCTAGTGTAATACCCAGCACAGTCATTATTCTGCACGTGCTTGATGGCTGGCAGGGCGACACAGAAATCCAGCTTGGGAAGCCTGAGGGTATGTTTGAGTTGCCTGTTCATTACCAAACATGTCTTCCATGTTCAGTGGCTCCCTTGGTGCTTTTGGCATTTGGCAGCTCCCAAGTTCTATCACCTTCTCTTTGGAATTCGCAGCTCTGCAGGAGAAATGAAGTTACTGGCGTCCCTTCCAAACTTTTCAACCTCAATTTTTGTCCAGGAAATTGAGAATTTTGTCTTTGGAAGGTGAACAAGAGGCTTTGTGACTAATTCCTTTTACACTTCCTTCAGCCTTGGTCATTTGAGTAGCAGCGTCTGTACCTGTGGGCAGGCAGACAGTTGTTCAGCAGGCGTGACGGCATCAGGCTAGTCTTTCTGTCCCCAGAGAGATGATCTGAGGCCTCTTCTATATGAGACAAAGGTTTTCAACTGACTCACAGGGGCAAAACAGATTAAAATGGAAAAGAGCAGCTAAGAGGAGGGTAGAAAAACGTAATTTATGCCTGAACTTGACCTGCCTTATAGTGCCCTGGGTGAAGTCTAATTAAACAATATTATCTGGTAGACTTGTTTTTCTGGGCTTCCCCGGTGGCTTAGTGGTAAAGAATCTGCCTGCACATGCAAGAGACACAGGAGATGTGGGTTCGATCCCTAGGTCAGGAAGAACCCTGGAGTAGGACATGACAGCCCACTCCAATAGTTTTTACTGGAAAATTCCATGGACAGAGGAGCCTGGCAGGCCACAGTCCATATGGTAGCAAAGAGTCACACTTGACCGAACACACGGACGCAGAGGTATTTGTAGTCTCTCTTTTGATTGGAACAGATTTGTACCTTCTTTTTGGATCCAAACCCAATCAGCCTTCTCAGGTATCAGAATAGTAGGACTCAATCTACACACAGATAAACTCTATTCTATTCAGTGATAGCAAAATGGATATGGCAAAATGGTTCATCACATCATGACTTGAGGGAACCATAATTTCCCCACTGGGTACTCACAATGCCACTAGAACACTCCCAAGCCCACCCTTGGATTTTGTGGAAGGCATATGCTAGGGGCTTCCCTGGTATCTCAGCTGGTAAAGAATCTCCCTGCAATGCAGGAAACCCAGGTTTGATCCTTGGGTTGCGAAGATCCCCTGGAGAAGGGAATGGGTACCCACTCCAATATTCTCGCCTGGAGAATTCCATGGACAGAATAGCCTGGCAGGCTATAATCCATGGGGTCATAAAGAGTTGGACATAACTGAGAGACTATCACTGCACTAGCTTGCATAATCCACCATTTCTGAATCCTATAAGAAGTGAGTTTGGAAGGATATATCTGAAGCCCTTACCCCTGCAGGCCCTCACTTGCTCACAGCTGACTTTTGTTCACTTGCTGCTGGTTCCTGTCCCCCTGTTCTTCCTTGCCCTTGAGATTTTCCATTCCAGAAGTGAGTTCTGGCTCATTCTTTGTTAAATGATTTATCACTGTAGCTGTGGATCAAATGATTAATATTTTCTGCTGTTGTTACTTGTTGAAATATCAAGTTCCCAAGTGCCAGCTATAGGGTTGATATCAAAAGAAGATAATAAGGGACAAGCCCATGATTTGGTTTTCAAAACTATAGAAAAGTTTTAGAAAATATTTCTTTGATGCCTTTCCAGACAAAATCAATACTTTCTAAATTTTCACAGAGGAAGGACTAAAAAGGAATAATCATTATATGTGCCTGTACTCAATTGCTAAGTTATGTCCAACTCTTTGCAACCCTGCGGACTGTAGCCCACCGAGCAACTCTGTCCATGGGATTTCCCAGGCAAGAAAACTGCAATGGGTTGCCATTTCTTTCTCCAGGGACCTTCTTGACTCAGGGATCGAACCTGCAACTCCTGCATCTCCTGCATTACCAGGTAAAGAAGCCTTTAGATTCCCAAAGCTTGTGTTTTCCTCATTGGTAAAATGGGAACAATGAAACTCTCTGCCTTGAGCTTTGTTGTAAGGATTAAATGAGATCATTCGTCTAAAGTGCTCCTTTAGCAAAATGTCAGACACACATTAAGCCCTTATTAAGGGTTAGCCACTACTAGAACTACCAAAACAACCCCCCTAAAACGAAGACAAACCCTTTTGAGACATCGTTGAGTGTATCTATTTTATAAAATGTTTTAAATATCACTATATTTTAAGAGCTTTCAATTATGTAATGAGTTCATTTTTTTTAACTGGAGAATAATTGCTGTACAATGTTGTGTTGATTTCTGCCATACAACATGGATCGGCCGTAAGTGTGTGTGTACCCCCTCTCTCTCTTTAGCCTTCCTGTTACACACCCCCACTCCTCTCGACCATCCCAGAGTGATAACACCTTTATAACATTACATTTCAAAAAAATTTAAAATTCCGTAAGTGATATTTTCTTCAACATAATTGATTAAACACTGAATACATTGTACTGGGCTCTGCAGAGAATACAGATTAATCATGTAGCATTTTTTTTTTTTACCCCAAAGGGCTTGTAATCATTTTGTGAAACTTCACCAACCTCTGAAAAATTAGAGACTACAAAATAGGATTGACTTAAGTACCCTTATAGTGTTTCTAAAATCTCAACAGCATTTGGGCCAGTTGTTAATGTACGTCTCTAACAAATGTATCAGAGATGTTTCTTTTTTTTTTTTTGGTCTTGTTTAATCTCACAAGACCTCCAAAGATTATTGGGAAAGAGCTTTTTTCTTGGCTCTACTTGACTTAGTCTGCGTGGCAATACCAGAGACCAAGATCAAGTAGAAACAAGAAAGGGAGAATGGTGAGATGTTTCTTAATATAAGAAAATAGGAAAAAGTTGAAGCAGCTTCTCTGAGTGTAATTTAGTTTACAAGGAATCATTCACTTCTGATCATGTACAGGTAATCATGTCAAGTTATGCAAAAATAAAAGTTTTGTAACGTTGCATTAGAGAAACCAGTTGTAGACTCACTGCTTTTTCAAGTTCAGAAAGTCAGTGTTTGCTCTGTAAGCCCTGGCTTAATAGAATATGGTCAGTCAATAAAGACTTCCTCTTCACTCATGTCTCTGTGACATTTACATCAGCTTTATTTACCCCAAAGTCTATCACAATGAGATTTAACTTTCTTTCTTTTTTTTTTTTTTGATCTGAACTGTAGTACAAAGGGCGCATAGGAATTTGACTGGCTAGCATGAAAAAAATCTTGATTTGCTTATCCTAACTTAAAAATAATCCTTACATTTAAATGGTGTATTTGAAATGACTCAGAGAGTCCCGAAACCAACAAAATATCACATATTTACTGCTCTGTGTTTCTCTCTCTTTGTCAGAAGATCACCCATGTGCAACCAACCATCCATCAACAAAGCCACCCTAACAGGTAAGAAAAATCTGGGAGATTATTCTTTTCACGTCTAAGAAAAAAGCATATTTTCCAAGATTCTACCTAATTATTATAGTACCAGTTTTTCCTGCAGTTTTAAAGTATTTAAGAAATTAATCCTTTCCTCTTTATCATATCATTTCTCTCATTGATCTCACAAGCTGTCCATTTTAAGCTATTGGTAAAACTTAACTAATGTGCCTTTAAAAAAAAAAAAAACGAGTTAAATTTGTACTCTTTACTCCACTGAGGGTTGCTCATTTATATCTTGAGAGGTAGCATTACCTTAAAAGTGTTGACCAAGTTGTTTCTGAGCTTGTGTTATCATCATATTGTTAATATATGCTAGTTTGGTTTAATGAAAGTCAATACATAAATAAAAGTTAGCTTCTTATTTAATCAATATCCCAGTTGTGTGTAGGAAGGAGCGCCATTCCAATACTCCCACTTTGGACCCGCAGAGTTGAGATTAAATTCAGTTTGGGAGAGGAGAGAAGAAGTAATTATATAATAGCTGAAAGTTCAATGAGATCAAAAGAACAGATGTTTGGGGAAGAGAAGTGGATGGAAGGATGAAGGGTGTAAAGGGCAGAAGAATAAAATTACTCCAAATCCTATTAGTCTATTTTAGACATGGGGCTTGACCTCAGCTGAGCCAAAAACAGAGCAAATGATCTCATTTTGCTGAACCTGAAACCACATTTGAACTCATTTAATCATTTCTTGAAACTCCAATTGATTCATTAAAATAATTGCCCGAAGAAGAAAACCTATGTTTTCTAAAATTATTACCAGAAGACAATTAACATATTCTCCAAACTAGACCCACACTTCACTTGATTCAAGTGTCTTCCTTGGACTCCAGCTCATGACATGCAGAGGAGCTCATTATTACGTTATTAGTGACTATACTTTGCTTGAAAGTTAACTTCATCATGTCCAGTCAGGACCTTTCAATTGGGCTCATTTGTGGTCATCACATCAAAGTGATTCTGGAATAGTTGTTAATGTTGGTCTTTCCTGAATGTCTTTCAAATAGACTTGCGTCCTGTTGACTATTACATTATTGGTTGTCTTTACCATGTTTATCTTTCAAGATCTTATTGGTGATGATTTTCAGCTGGCATTTCATAGTCTACGTCTGGTTTGCCTGTTTTCTTCTTGCTATTGGTCAAGAGATGAACAATAAGTGAAATTCTAATACATTAAAGTAAGTTCTTTGAGTAAGAAATTTCTTCTTCAGAGAAGAAGAATTTAATATGAGAGCCCAAACGTACCCGGCGCCTCTAATGAGAGACACCATGGTTCCCAGCCTGGAACCTGGTTCCCAGCCTTGCTCCCAGCACTAGACCTGAGCCCCCTTCACCTTTGCAATAAGTGAGATGGCTGACATCGCAATTTGTACAGAACTCAGTGCTATTTTGGTCCCTGAAAGCTCCTGTAGCTTGAGGTTACATATGAGTCAGCCTCCCAGAGCATCCTCCCAGAAGAGCAGCTGCAGGTACCAGTGGAAGCTCTTGTGTCCACCAAGAGGTGGTGGGTGCTACATGGTCAGGGCAGCTTACTGACCATCATGGCAGGCATCTGGCACTGATTAAAGAGAGAGCAGTCCACTCAGAAGTCACAGAAGTGGTCTTAAATACATAAGAGGCCCCATAGAAGATCCCAAATGTTTTCACTTAGTGCTAAAGCCTGGAGCAATACCAGAGCGAACTGTGGGTCATGGATATCTGGGTATCAAGGTTAATATGGCCTCATTTGTACCCACATGATCTTGACCTGGGGCTGTGGGCTATAGAAATATCTACGAAAGGAGACTAATTAACTGTCATTAAGTATTAGCTGTCATTAAGTGCTTCATGCAGCTGTATTCATCACAGAGCACAACAGGAAATTAACTGGCTAGCAAATGGAAGCCTTTTTCCTTGCCCAAGCATAGCAAACTAAGGTGAAAAAGTTGAATGAGGGGGTACGGGAATAAAGGCAACAGCAAGGGACGTTCTCCTCTCTGAGCTCATTCTGAAAGAGTGGGCCCTTAAAAATATAAATCATGAGGCTTCACTAGAAGACAAGACACAGGGGGAAGGTGGTGCTTGTGAATTTCCTCCCTCAGTGGCATGGGACCTGACTCCAAGTTTACTCCCTGGCGGGGATAAAGAAGAGTGTTAAACAGTCAGTGCGGCAACCTTGAAGGTGAACTTGGCCTTCTTAGAAATTATCCATGGGTCCTGAGGAACAGTGTATTCCTCTATGCAGTTAAGTTCATGGTTGATCCAAAAGGCCCTGTTGGTGCAGAGAACCCCTGGAGAGCACCTCCACAGAGCATCACTGATGGGGCACTCGGAGTTGTGTGTGCTTTCGTAGGGGAGGAAGGGGCTTCTCTGAATATCCAGAATCCAAATCATATTCTATCATGATAGCTATGTGGCCCTGGGCAGGTTATGTACCCTTTTTCTGCCTGTTTTCCCATTTACAGAACAATGATTGTATTTTATATAATTGTTGCTAAATAAATGAGTTTATGTGTGCAGTGCTCTCAGCACAGAATAAGCACTCAATACATCATTTTCTCTTCTTGTTTTTATGTGGTTTTTGTGTCTAGCATTCATTCTGTATGAACTAGGGGAGATGGAAAGAAAGTTAAGTCTCCATAAATCAACTTCTTGAGTTTTAAAAAAGTTTTAACTCTCTCTATGTCACATTGTTCTTTCTAAAACTTTCTCACATAGACCTAAAAACACTCCTTTCCCACTTGGAGGTTATTCCATTTTACATGAGTTAAAGTTGGAAAAGTTTGATTTTTATCATTAGGGATGAAGCCTGTTAGTTGCCAGATTTTATTGCTCTACATAGCAGGTAAATACATAGCTCTACATCAGTGTAACAGTGAAAAAACTAGTAAAACTTCCAAATGTTCATTTAGAAAAGAGCCTTCCTACTGAAGAGCTATTTGTTCTTCCGTGTGGTATAACAGAAAGATGGCATGTGACTTTTTGGGCCTGAGTGCAAACCTCATTAGTTTTATTCCCTCATTGGAAGAATGGAGATAGGAGTTCCTAATTCTTGGTGATGTTACAGGAATTCAAGGAGATAAGCTAGATGAGGAACAGAAGCTTGTCATGAGTAATTCACCAAGTTTTCTTCCTACATCCCTACTCTGTGCCTGACATTTTTTGTTCTTGATCCTAAAGCTAATTTAAAAACTGGTGGTGTAGAGAAGAAGGACATTGATGATGTATCAGCTTTACTTGTGTGTTTAATTTGTGATTTTGTTTGCAAATAGTAGTGATAGCACATCTTTAGGAATCCCTATACTTCATGCAGAGCTCCTGGGTGTCTTGGTGGTAAAGAATATCTGCAATGCAGGAGACCTGGGTTCCATCCCTGGGTTAGGAAGCTGCCTTGGGGGAGGAAATGGCAACCCATTCCAGTATTCTTGCCTGGAAAATCCCATGGACAGAGGAACCTGGTGGGCTATAGTCCATAGGGTCGCAAAGAGTAGGACATGACTGAATGACTGAGCACACATACACATACTTAGTGCAAGGCTCACGTGCGTACGTCCTTAGCTGAGAGTGAAGAGCAGAACTAAAGAGTGTGTTGAAACATGAGAGGGCAGCAGAGAGTCAGAGCTGCCCAAGCTATACCTGCATTGTGACATTGAGCCCTGGTTTTGGTATAGAGCCTTGTGTTTGAGGACATGGTTAGTTCTTTTTGAGCATTTCATTTTCAGACGAAGCTAACTCAAGAAAAATGATCCGTGGCCATCTCATGAGACCCTGTCACATCTTGACAATATCTCTTTACAGTGTTTGTAATTTCCGTATTTTCTGTCCCTTTGCTAGTCGCTCAGTTGTGTCAGACTCTGCGACCCCATGGACTGTAGCCCACCAGGCTCCTCTGTCCATGGAATTCTCCAGGCAAGAATACTGGAGTGGGTTGCCCTGCCCGCATCCAGGGGATCTTCCTGAGGCATCTAACATGGGTCTCCTGCATTGCAGGCAGATTCTTAACCTTCTGAGCTACCAGGGAAGCTTTTTTAGTCATATTTAAATTGAGGATCTTCATGGTGAGAATGTAACTGAGAGAAAATGCGTTTAAAGTTCTCTATTTTAAAAATGAGAAAATTAAGTCCCAGTGAGAAAAAAAATGCTACTTAGAAGCAGAACTGAGAATAAATGCAAGACCCCTTTTTCCCAAGTTATATGCCCTTATAAAATTATCAGTGAAATTAGGGTAGCCTTTTGACCCCACCATGAGATGTATGTTTTGGAGAAAGTAAAAGAAATCTTAAAGGATATTGATTTCTTGGTAATAGATACATTATTGTTTTACTTTGTATATGGACTCAAAAATTAAAATTATACTGTCCCAATTTCTCACTGAACAGGTCTTTATATTTAGAGCTGTTTTTATTATTTCCACAAATTATATCCTAAAGGTCTTCAGATAAGTAAAGGTTGGCTGACTAAGGAGAAAATGCAAGTTCTTCTATGGAAGCAATAAAACTAGTACAATTACCTACCAGCTACCTGTAGAGGGAGACACATAATTCAGGGACAAGCATAAAATAATACAAAAGTAGCTTTAGTCCAAAATTTTGGTATACCTCCACTCATATTTTTTACCCTGAATATTCATAACTCCTTTTAAGTGCATTTTCAATAGAATTTAATCAGTTGTTTAAGCAGAGAATTTAAAAAGTAAACTATCCAAATATACTGGTAAAAACACAATGAGAAGAAACTTAATTTTGTTTGTTTAGTGCTCTTCAAAGGCACAAAACAATTTCTAAAATTCATTGAAGGAAAAAAAAGATTTTTAACTGGAACAATTATTTTGCTATTATCTGGACATATCATTTAACACTTTGTGCTTGCTAAAAAAAGAAAACTAAATAGCTATTTTATGGTGACAGTACTAGTGACTTATATGTAGGTTTGCCTTTTAAATCTCTGTGTGTATATAATAAAAACAACTAGTGTATGTGATGTAAA